GTTGAGGCAGGACAGCTTTTCATTATTTCCAGACTCACTTTACTACAATAACTTTCTGTGAGTTATAGATTTATGTTGGTTAAGCCACCCAGTCTATGTGCTGTTGCTAGGGCAGACCCAGGCTGAATAAAGCACTGTTCTTCCCACATGCATTTTTGTCTCTGCCTTAATCCATTTTCTGCCCAACAGTATAGTCAGCCTTAGCAACAAAACTGACCAGCAGATTCCCTTGCTTAGAACATTTCAGTGGAAGCACAAAACAAGCAAAAAAAAAACCCTACAGTGCCTTTCTGGTAATGTGCTCAGATTCTGTGAGATAACTCTCCAGGGCTTCCAAATTTCGGGTTTTGTGCGCTTTTCTTATTTATCTAATGTTGGTATTCTCATACTTCGGGCACATTGACCTTTTTTTTTTTTGCCAGTTGTGTGACTTGAATTCAGAGCCTAGGCTTTGTACCTGAGCAGTTTTACTCAAGGCTAGCACTTTACCACTTCGAGCTACAGCTCCACTTCCAGTTTTTAGGTGATCAACTGGAAATGAGAGTCTTACCAACTTTCCTGCCTGGGCTAGCTTTAAACTGTGATTCTCAGATCTCAGCCTCCTGAATAGTGTAGGATTCTAGGCATGGGCCACCAGTGCTCTGCCACATTGACTTTCAAGGTGCCTCCTATACTGCGATTTCTATAGACTTCCTACAAAAGCATGTGTTTGCCAAGAATCCTCCCTATCACCAACCTACTTCCTTTCCTTGCTTGAGTCTCACATTGCCTCACGCACCTGAACTTCAGGCCTCATCTCAGGTAGAGCCAATGGAGGGCAGGCTATCTACTGCAATCTCCTCTCCTTCCCCAGATATTACATTCCTTAGTTATTGATGTATCCATTTATATCTATCGTCTTAGAATGGAAGTGCCAGATTTCTCTTGTCAGTCTTGGGGCCTCCTTATGCCATGCTAGTAGTCATATTTAAAGCATTTTCTGCACGTTGAAGTAGTGAATGACCAGTGAAGAAATGCTTGCTTGCTTGCTTGCTTGCAGCAGAACTTTCTGCCTCCCTGCTTGTTCAAGGACTGACCTGTGGCTCAAGATTGCAGGTGCCTGCTGCATAGACTTCATTATCTCTGGTGCAATAGCTTCCTGGAACTGATCTCTGTATCTCTGTGTCTCTGTCTGTCTCTGTCTCTCTCTCCAAGTTATTGAGAACTGGGACAGATAGGAGAAGCCTTATATCCAACACAGGAAAGAGGAACAAACTCATGATGGAACCTGATTGTGAGCTGGGACTGAATTCTGAAGCTTTTTACTAAATGTATTATAAATACATGAGTCCTGTTTGAAACCCAATAAGTGTTTTTACTGAATGGGTTGAGAATGAGTGTTTGTGAGTGCTCGATCAATACCTGTCATGATCATTGATTAAAAACATAACAGGCCAGTTGCTCACTTTAGGAGTTTTGTGGTGACATTCTGTTAATGTCCCACTTCTCTTATTTTAAAATTTTGAACCCCCAGAAAGGGTAAAAATCTGTGTTTAGATCTGAATACCTCTCTACCCATCAGCAATGAACAAAGCACAGGTTTTTTTTGTTGCTTTGTTTCCTTTTTGGTGATAATCCTGGGGCTTGAACTCAGGGCCTAGCTACTGTGCCTGAAGTTTTTTGGTAAGGCAATTACTCTACAACTTGAGCCATAGCTCTACTTCAAGCTTTTCTGGTACTTAATTGGAAACACGAGTCTCATAGACATTCCTGCCCAGGCTGGCTTCAAATGTGATCCTCAGATCTTTTTCTAGTCATCTGTCTCTACTTGCTCTCTTTCTTCCTCCTATCAGGAGACTGATATGGGTGGGCCCTACAGAGGAGATCTGGGGTGAACTTCCCTATACATTCAAGTGTCCATGAAAATGGGCCATCTGTTCAGAGTCCAAGCCCTGCCCAAGTTGTCTGACTAAAGGTGCAGATCATCAGTCCACTTGGAGTCTTCTTCCCACCAACAGTACAATACGTGACCCCATGCTGAATATCCCGAGCTCCAACCAGTACTGAGACAGGATTGTTCCTTCTGCAGTGGATGGAGGCTGACACAATAAGTCTGCCTTATTTGTGGATTTATCACACAAGGGTTTGACCAAGTGCAATTAAAAAAAGAAAAAGAAATTTCAACACTGAAGTTGAAAATCCCAGTGCCCATTCTGAAGCTGGGTGGAGGCAGGCATTCAAGGCAGCGCTGGCCGGTGGTCAGTTGTGTCTACATCTTTATATCAGCTGCTGAGTGTCAGTTTCCCTGGCTTTGATTTTATGAAAATTGGCTTCCAAAAAATCAAGTGGGGCTGAAGAGCAAGGTAAAAGTGAATGTGTAGCCGGGCACCGGTGGCTCACACCTGTAATCCTAGCTACTCATGAGGCTGAGATCTGAGGATCACAGTTCAAAGCCAGCCCGGGCAGAAAAGTCTGTGAGACTCTTATCTCCAATAAACCACTAGAAAACTGGAAGCGGCATTCTAGCTCAAGTGGTAAAGTACTTGCCTTGAGCTGAAGAGTGCAGGGACAGTGTCCAGGCCCAGAGTTCAAGCCCCACGATCGACAAAAAAAAAAAAAAAAAAAGTTAATGTGTTTCGCTGAAATGATCAAGTGGAAATTTTACATTTGTTGAAAGGTGGCATGACTCTATAGAAAAATGAACCATGCATCCACAGTACAAGACTGAACCCTAGGCACCCTGTGCATGCACAGTGTTTATTCAATGGCAGGCTCCTTGCTACCACAAACCTGAAGACAGCAAGGTGGAAAGAGTGAGCAGATGCTGCTCTGTTTTTGAGACTTTGTCAATGTGACTTGTCTATCAGCAGACTGGTGTAGACACTGGCAAAAGCTCAGCGCACATTTATTGAGTGTTTCCTTGTGTGGCCTTGTTGTAGAACTCCACAGAGTTAAGTCATTTTGTCTTTGTGCAATGTTTCCAGTTGGGGGTAGTTTTCATCCCAGGGGTCTGCTGATTTGCACAGAATAACAACCTAGGGACATGCAAGGATTTATATTCAACAGCCAGGTGGTAAGATGAGCCCTTATCCATGACAACAGGACATTGTCCACCCTATAGTGACATTCCTGACCACCAGCGAATTCCTTCAGGACACCAGATAGCATGTCTAAATGTCTTCATCAGGAAAATAAGGTTTGGAGATGTACTGTTAAGAGCATTGTTAATATTGGATGAACCTCAGGGTTGGAGAATGTTTCTCCCCCTTGGCAGCAGGAACCCCAGAATCTCTACTGGGGCATCAAATGGTATCTAACTTTTGGTTTGTTTGTTTGTTTTTAACCTAATCTGTGGTTACAGGGAGACACTGAGTGGCTGGATTTCATCCTAGGAGACCAGAGAGAGGTAGAAAGAAGGATGCAACTTAAGCCATCTTGTTTGCATGGGGCAGAGTGGACCACATTTTACAGGGAGATGGACTACAGTAGTCCCATCATCTGACTGCTCACAGGTGGCTGAACTGAAGATGAAGTCTCTGCAAGCCTTAGCTAGACAGTTGTTGACCAGATCCATATTTCTCACTTCATGCATCTCATTGTACCACTAGCAAACTCACCACTGACTGGTTGCTTCTAACATATTCTCGCCTCATTTTTAGTCACTCTGTTGACTGTTATTATTATGGCATTACTATTCAGTTCTTTTCCTTTCCTAGAATCTTCCTACTTTTAAGTACTTGCCTTATAGCTACCTTGGACTCAGGCATTTCCACTTGTAAGCCTGCCTCCCTATATCCAGGGCCTAGATCACTGATAGTTCCTAATAGTGCATTAGAATGTGTGGAACAAAATTGAGGAAATCAATTTAAATTTTATATATTTACATCTTAAACTGATATATTAACTAAGTTGACCTTTTAGTTCCAAACTGTAAACATTTTCAGTTATTGAAATGATACAATCAACATGAAAATCAATTCAGCTAGCTTGCATCCCATTTTTTTCATATTAAATCTTGGGCTTGTTTTACATCTAGAAAACTTTTCAGGACTCCTCATTTCAAGTATTCAATAGTGCTAGCAAACAGGGTTAAAATATAAATCGTGTGTATGTGTGTATGTGCAGGAGCGTGCAGGAGAGAGAAAGAGAGGGAGAGGGAGAAAGGCAGAGAGCATTGCCTTCTCCCCTAGACTCTGATCCCTCAAGGCTGTGCTTCCTTACCACTTTCACCATTAGCAGAGAAAGTCTAGCCAGCACCTGGGCCTTTTCCAGAGAAGCAGGGATTTCCGCATTTGCACAGCATAGGTGTTTCTCCTGAATGTTCCAGCAGCTGTCATTCCTCTGTGCCAGCTAGGCTGGGCGTCACTGCTTTGAAAATAGGTTGTTTGGATGAAAGAATTTATTCTAAATCCAGTTCCCGGCAGGTGAGGAGAACACATGGTTTTCTATGCAAGGTGCAAACTTCAGGAGGTGGCTGCTTGGTGGAGAGACATGGTGGTCGTTCCAGTGACTGAGCACACGCAGGACAACCGGCTCTGTGTTGTTTCTGCCCTGCCGAAGGGGAGAAGCTGAGTGAAGCCCCGCAGTCGTCTCCGAGTGCGAGGCTGAATGGAAGCCTGTGCAGAGCTGCAGGCGCTGCTGGCGGCCGGAGGCGGCTGGTGGCCCAGCCTTCTCCCTGCGCCCTCGGTGCGTGAGCGCAGTCTGGGCGCGGGCTGTGGCCGTTCCCTCAGTGTGAGGTGGGGGACTTGGGGAAGTCGGGCCCGGCCCTCGGCGCGGTGGGCGGGCCGCGGGCGGGGGCGCGAGCGCGGGGCGCGCGTCCGAGCACAGGTGCCGGGGGCGGCGGCGGCCCCGGGGCAGCGTCGCCGGGCGGCGGGCGGGAGTTCGCCGAGGAGCCCGCGATGCCTTTCGCAGATGCAGACGGAGCCTGCGGCCAGCAGGCGGGAGGAAGAGGAAGTGAGAGCAGCGGCGGCCGCCCGACCCGGAGAGTAAGTGCGTGCGCCGACAGAGCGGAGCGGCGGGGACCGGCGGGGAGCAGCGATTTGCCGCCCGCCCGGCCGGGCCGCAGAGCCGCGGGGCCCCAATTCACTGTGCGGGGGTCGCCGGGGCTCCGGATGCCGGGAATCCCTGCCGCCGCCGCCGCTGTCCGGAGACCCCGGGCAGGTTCGTAAAGTTTCCTGGCCCGCGCCGCGCGGGGTCGCTGACCTCGGGCCGGCGGAGAGGGGAGAGGGCTCCCGGGGCCGGCGGGGAGGGGGCCGGGGGTCAGCGTGGAGGGCTCCGGGGTGCGAGGGGAGGGGACTGGCGAGGGAAGTTGGGGAGGGCCGGCTGGGGGCTTCAGGGCGGACGGGGAGGGGCCGGAGCGGGGCAGGGGCTGTGGGACCGGCGGATAGGGGGCCCGGGCCAGGGCGGGCTTGGATCCTCCCGCCTTCCCCTCTGTCTCCGGGGGCCCACGGGCGATGACCGGGACGCGCCCGCCGAGCTCCGGACTTGGGGGAAGTCTGGGCGCCGAGTGCGGGAGTGGGGGTGCGGCGTCCCGGGCCGGGGCGCAGGGCCGGGGACCCAGCGAGACGTGTGCACCGGGACTGGCTCGCGGGGCGCGGGGGCTGCGCCACGGCGCGGGGCGTCGGGACGCCGGAGTCCGGAGCCCGGGCAGCTGCTCCGGACGCGGCTGGCGGGGACCTGGGCCGGGCTCTGGGTTGTGTGGAGCAGAGCAGCGCCCGGGAGCGCGTTCCGGGTCGGCTCGGTGGATGGGGCCGGGGGGGGGGGGAGAGGGGGCGCAGGGGGCGCGGCGGACAGCTGCGATCCCCGCAAACTCCCCCCCGTGGGGACACGCCGCGGGCCCCGCTGGGGTCCGTGCGGGCGGCGGGGGCTCGCGGTGACCCGGGGCAGGAGGCGTGGACCCGCCGGGCGCACCCCGCAGGACGCGGCAGCGGCGGTAGTGGGCCCGGAGCCGGAGCAGAGCGCGTGGCCTCGGTGGTCCAGGGGCGCCTTCGAGGGCTGAGGAAATAACGCCTCCGGTCCCAGGCTGAGCTTGGGGCCAAGAAAGTCCGTGCGGAGCCGAGGGCGGGAGCGCGCGGAGGCGAGTGCGCGAGTGTGGGGCGTGTTGGTGCGCGCTCCCGCACGCACAGCGCGTGCGCTGGGAGGGGGGGCTCTACCGCCAGGGCCTCCCCTCCCACTGATTCTGTCCAGCCCGGGGTTCTTTGAAGTTGGTCAGGAGGGTCAGGGGCCTTTGGTTTCAGGAGCAGCCCTGGCTTATTGCCAAAGGGCCTTCCTGCAGCAGGGCAGGTCCCCGCAGGGCCAGCCCAGGGCCCTGGACAGCTCCCCAGGGCTCAGCCTGCACAGGCCTCCCACCTATGCTGGGACTTTTGGATCTCACTGTCAGGGGTAGGATGTCCCAGAACCCTAGAGAGGGGGTTGTGGCCCAGAGGCAAAGGCTCCTGCCTGTGACTTGAGGTTAGGGACAGTGGGAAAATTTGAGCATTGAAAGAAGATAGCTAGAAAACAAGAGTAATTGAGAATCTGCATTCTCTGAGAGCAATTTAGGGACCCGAGAGCCTGGTCCAGTCCTCTGCACTTAGAGATTGCAAAAGCTGCCAGAAGCTACTGGGGCCTTCTCTGCTCCAGGTTTGCGTGTTGCCAAGGTTGTTTCAAGGATTTGTGTCCCCTCATTTGCAGAACTGGGGAGCCTGCTAAGTTACCCGGTCAGATCTTCAGCAGACATACAGCACACTTAATTTTAACCCTCTACTCTTGACAGTAATATCTGTCCTATGTATTAAAGTGTGCAATTGAAAAGTTCCTGTGGCCTGCTGCCTTTCCCATTTTGGGTGTCCTCAGTTTCTTGCGTGTGTTGTTGTTAAATTAAATGAACTGGTAATCTGTGAAAGAATGAGAATGGGATCTCCAGCTGGGGCTGGGGCTGGACTTGTGGGGAAAGATAGGAACCAGACTCTTGGGAGGTGTCAGCCAGCTGTAGGCTCAGGCAGCAGTCTGGGGAAACTCAGGACCTGCAACTAGCTGCAGAATGGGTGGTCCCAGTGCTGGATGGCATATGCCCCACAACACAGATAGCCCTTGTCCAGTACAACCATGCTGAGCACATCCCATTTTTCTTGTTCACTGAGTTCTCAGCCCAGGGCCTTGCACATTCTGTTTTTGCGCATGAGTCGGTTTCTCCCACAAGGCCAGGTGGCTCATTCCCTTATTTCCTTTACTTTGGTTTGCTGAATTGTGAGTTTACACCGTTGCCCTGACCACTCCATCTAATACAGCTACCAGAAGTCAGGTGTCTGTGGTTCATGCCTCCAATCCTGGTTATTCAGGAGGCCAACTTCTCAGGATCTCAGCTCAAGGCTAGCATGAAGAAGAAAGTCCTTGAGGCTCTTACCTCCAATTAGCCACCAAAAAGCCTGAAGTGGAAGTGTGGCTCATATGGCAGAACACCAGCCTTTAGCAAACAAGCTAAGGAAGAGTGCCCAGGCCCTGAGTTCAAGCCCTATTAGTGTCCATAAATACATAATCAACTGAATAAATAATAAATAAGCAGCCTTGCATAGTCCTCTGCTGCTCTCACTTTTCTTCTCTTAGCATTTTCCCCTTTTGGCATGATACATTTACTTGTTTGTTTATTGTCTTTCTCCCATTAGAATGGAAGTTTCTAGAGGAAAATACCTTGAAATGTTTACACATTGAATTCCTAGCCCTTAGTAGATGCTCCTTAAATGTCTGTTGACTGACTGAGAGATGCCTGTGTAGGGAGGGGCTCACCAGGGAAAGAGACCCTGTAGCATCCAGAGCAGATGAGAAGCCTGGCCCTTGTCTGTTGGTGGCCACTATTCTTTCAGACCCTCTACTGACTTGCCCCCTCCTCCCTTAGAATCTCAGACAAGAAAGGGGCCAGGAGGTGATTTCCTCGGAGAGTGAAAACACATAACTACTCTTGGTCTGTTATTGCATCCTTTATTTTGTGGACAGGACTTCAAAGCCAAAACATGTCATTATTGTTAATAGCATCATCCCAGGGCCATTTACCCACTGTGTCACATGGTCTCCCAGCCATGGAAGGGAGCGGGGAGGCAGGCGTCCAGGCTGGGTGCAGACAACTCCAGAGGAGAAGACAGGAGAGATGCCCCGGGGAGAAGAAAAATGAAAAGGAGAAAGCAGATAAAGAGCTTTTACAGTGTGCAAAGTCATAATCTTTCTGAAATTACAGGATTCAGGATAAGGCTGAGTTTGAGTGTTTTGCTTAATTAATCCCCTTTGAGTTGTTTGGTGTGAGTGGGTAGGGCAGGAGGGGCTGGAAAGGGAGGGCTTTAAAGCCCCTGCCCAGAGGATGTGGCTGTGGGCGGGAGCTGCCTGGAGCAGACACTACCATCTTGTCTAACACTGAAGTTGAGAGGGGGGCATCCTTAGGGTAGGAACTTTTCCCCTGCCTCAGCTGAGACAGTTGGTCCATTAAGCTTTGTTACCAAAGCTCAGCAACCACATTTGAGTGCCCCCAGCCATCCAAGCAGAGAGCTTGGCTTAGCAGACATTCTGTTGAATTCGGAAAAGGTTGGGAATTGTTCAACCTGGCTGCCTTGCAGAGCAGAAGGTGCTTGGGACAGTTGGGCACATTCAGTTTGGCTTCTGTCTAGTCTACTAGGCTAGGGCTTGCATGCTTAAGGAGGATGTGACATGACGATACTAATTTTGTAGGTTCAGGCTAGCCATTTAACATATGCAATAGGCCCAGCATGGGTGCTCAGGTCTGTAATTCTAACTATTCAGGAGGCTGAGATCTGAGGACCAAGGTTTGAGGCCAGCACATTTAGGAGAGTCCCAGAGTCCTCATCTCCAATTAAACATCAAAAGCCTAAAGTGGAGGTGTGGCTCTCAAGGGTTAGAGCACCAACACAAGGGACAAGGCCTGGGACCTGATTAAAGCCCCAGTACTGGCACAATAAGCAAATAAATAAATAAATGATAAAACCTGCAGTGGAGGTGAGCAGAGGAGAAATTGTTTCAGAAAATATACACTGGGTTTAAAAAATATTGTTACCATAAAGGTGATGTAGAGAGGGGTCACAGTTACATAAGTCAGGTAACGAGTGCATTCTCTTTTGGACAATGTCATCCCTTCTCTTGCGTTCTCCCCACTTTTCCCTCTAGTCCCCACCCAACAAGTTGTAGAGTCCATTTTCAACATTGTGTAGTGAACACTCCTGCTGCATTTGCTCATCCTTTGTCCCTCCATTTCTGTGCCCTCCTTACCCTCCCAAAGACAGATAAATGAACAAGACAAGAGGAAAGGAAAATGAAAACAGCAACAAAGGAAAAAAAAACCCATTTTTCCTGGAGTTCATTTTGATAAATATTATTTTATATGACCAGATGTACATAGCTGTTGAGCCTCTGTGATCCTCTCCTAAGAATATCCTCCTGGTCTCACCCTGTGCACACACTCCATCTTATTGACCAATGTATGGCTTGATATGTGCTGTGTGTGTGTGTGTGTGTGTGTGTGTGTGTGTGTGTGTGTAAAATACCATGCTGGGATTTAAACTCAGAACCTTGTGATCTTGCTGGGGTTTGTGTGCTACTGCTGCTTCACACTCAACCGCCTTAGCAGCTAGAATTACAGGTGTGATCAACAGTGTTTTTTTTTTTTCCCCCTTTTTGCCAGTCCTGGGTCTTGAACTCAAGGACTATGCACTGTCTCTGAGCTTCTTTTGCTCAAGGCTAGCACTCTACTACTTGAGCCACAGCACCACTTCTGGTAAGGAATCAAACCCAGGGCTTCATGCATGCTTAGCAAGCACTCTACCACAAAGCCACATTCTAGGCCTCACTTTTTTTAAAATTTTTTTTTTTTAATAATCCAGGAAGTTCTAGGAGTCTACACTTTTTAGTGTAGACTACACTTTGTAGTGATTCTGTGGGGAATATTGAAATAAGAAAGACATGGCTGTTTCCTGTGGACCATGTGCTATTGGTTTAATCTGTAAAAGTCACTATTTTTAAAGCTTGAAGCAAGAGTAGTGTCAGTCATTGGCTTAACTTTAAAAAATGCCTCTTTTAAAGCAATTTTTTTTCTTGTATGTTCAAGTTTGAAGTCAGGGCTTTGTGTTGCAAGGCAGGCACACTACCATTTGACTCAGGCCCTTAGTTCTTTATTTTCTGTA